CTGGATGAAAGTAATGGGAACAAAGTCTCTAGCTGTCCAATTGTTGAGTCCACCATTGGTAGCAGGGAAGATCCAGTTGTCCAGGTCACAGTCACTATCAGCGTCTTCTACAGCATTGACTCCATGGTTGCTGATGCATAGTGGTGATCCTCCAGCGCGAGTACGACAAACGGCTTTTTGAGCTCCTGAAGTGAAACCCAAACCAAATTTGTCGGACTTATAGGGGATGTCAGGTAGTTGGCCCCATATAGTTCACCCACCTACTTCAATTACAACCCTAGCATCTTTTATAGAATCCATCTTCAGTGGAGGTCTGGTAATCTTTGGAATAGCGGTAGCAGCTTTAGTAACAACAATTGTCTGACGAACCTCTTCAAAATTTTGGCAGGGGGTCTTGATGAACTCGTCGTCCATCTCGACATATCGAAAAGAGTTCAAATGGCTCACCATATACTCTTCTTCTCCATGGACTGTAACAATCTTTCCATTAGCTGGATATTTTAACATCTGATGCAAGGTGGAAGTGACAGCGCCGACCCCATGAATCCAAGGGAGTCCCAACAATCAAGAGTAAGACGGGAGAATGTCCATCACATAGAAAGTGGAGCAAAAAGTTTGGGAACCGACTTTAATAGGAATGTCCACCTCCCCGTGTACCATTCTCTTGGAACCATCAAAAGCTCTTACCACAATATTACTGGGCTTCAGAGTCAGTCCTTCACAGTCCAATCTGTCTAGAGCACCCTTGGGTAGAACATTTAGAGACGAACCCATATCAACTAGAACATGAGCTAGGGTAGTTCCCATGTACTCAATAGAGACATGCAGGGCATCATTATGCTTTCTTCCTTTAGACGTCAAATCAAAATAGGAGAAACCAAGTTCATTGTCAACAGTTAGACTAACAACGCAGTTCTCGAATTGGTCGGCAAAAGTCTCTTGTGGCACATGAGCAGATTTGACGAACTTCACCAAAGCCTTAGCGTGGGCTTCAGAGCATAATAATAAGGCCAGCATTGAAATCTTTGAGGGGGTCTGCCCCAATTTCTCCACAACATTATAGTCACTCTTCCGTATGATTTTCAAAATTTCCTCAATTTCTCGTTTGGAGGTTTCAGGAATGGCTTCTTTGGGTGCCTCCGTTCAGGAAGGCTCAACCAATACTTCTTTACCCTGAGTCTCAGCTAACTCAGTAGAAGGAATAATGACAAGAGCAGCAGGTGTTTTAGCAGGAATAACCAAAGGAATGGCAACAATCTTTGGAGAGATTTCAGGAGAGAAAACCCTTCCGCTTCTGATAATTTTAATGGTCCCAACAATGTTGTCGATGTTAGGATCAATATCTTCAGTAACTTCATTCTTAATGGCCAAGAGGTCCTTCTTGACGCCATGATAATAAATGTCAGCTCCATAATTCTAAGTAACGGCTTTGTCGGAGGAATATGGTATGAGCCCTGGAAAGGTGATAATTAAAGGAGCAACCTTAGGAGTGGATGTAATCCTGACAGGTCTTTTGGAAGAGACCCTGGGAGGATTGTCGGAAATGGTAATAATTGACACATCTTCACATCTTGCATCTTCACATAGACCTTTTATAGAGGGAGTCTTCTCGAACATAATTTCCTTGTTGTTCATCAGGCGTTGGACACTTATTTTCAACAATAAACAACCATTGGGCAGAGACGCACACAGGTGGCAACCTTCACCACAGCCTGGAAATAAATCGGTTTGTAAGAGATTCTTCTTAACAGTTGGCAGAGGGGTAGTCAAATCATTCATATAAGAAACGAATAGAACATCATCAATATGATTAATACCCTGGCCATGCTTGGGCATTGGTGCAGTTATCACATTGGGGGTTTTAGGAGGGTCAAATTCAATCTCCTTTTCCTTAATAAGATCCTGAACTTTACTCTTCAAAGCCCAATAATCATTTGTATCATGCCATATGTGATACGGTGGGAGAACTGACTTGAAGGTTTTGCGTTTGATTGCAAATGTTATAGTTAGCAAGAGTCGCCACCGACTTTTCTTTTATCCAAAAGGAAAGGTGAAAAAGCACAGGAAAAACCTTTGAGATTGTTTCTTGAGTTTGGGGGGTAGATTATGAAAAGGGAAGGTATTAGCACTCTTTTCATCCATGGTTTTCTATGGTCTCTTAGTTACTTGCTAGATTACTTGCTTTTGTTTAAAATTGTGCTTTGTGTGGTTTTTGAAAGTATTTTGTAAAGAGGCCATTGTTTAGGCAAACTTTGTAATGATTCTCGTTTGTAAGAATGTATACAAAGTGTTTGATCTTTTGAAAATGTTTTCAAGTTTGAAAGATGTTTTTGAAAGTGTTGGTGTTTGTTTTGAAAATATCAAGGATGTTTGTTTTGAAATGGAGCAAGTAACTAGGAGCATTCTACCTACTCAAAATTCTTTCTTGTTCATTTTCTTTTCCTTTGACATTGTTATCTTACCATTAATTTGGTAAGTAACCCTATCTTTGGATGTAAATGGGACGGGCGTGGGTCATCGTATAACCATGATTAGCAATGTTGCAAGGTACCTTAGCATTTTTGTTTAGGGACTAAGATCATTTTGAAAGGCAACTTAGATAGCGTAATCGAGGGACTATGATCTTATATTTTGCTTGTTTTTTTGCTAAGATACCTCACATGCGTAATATGGCCATTTTGTAAAGACAACCAAGTAGATTTACCCTAGGGGTGCTTGTGTGCAAGTGTGTTGTTTTTCATGCTTGATTTTGTCTTTGATTAGAGTTTTCTAATTGATTGGTTTTAGTCTTTCCATACAAATCCTAATTACTAGCATTTGTATATAAAAGCGATAAATTGCAGAATTTAAAATTATTACGCTATTATAATACTTGTGGGAGGAGGGTGTACAAATTATAAATGGGGATTGCAAGAAAATAAACCTAATTAATCTATTACAACCATATTGAATTTGTACAAGAATTAAATAAATAAAGTACAAAATGAATAAATATACAAGAATGTAAATGTGAATAAAATGGATATTTTTGTTTAGATTTTTAAGGAAAAAAGGGTTTTGTTTTAACCTAATTAACTAAAAGAAAAATAATTAATTAAAATAGTAAAAAGTAACACCTAAATTTACTAAGAAAAGATTTTAAATAAAACCCTAAATCTATTAATTGATTTAAAAAAGGAAATTAAGTTTGTAAGAAGAATATTTTTGGTATTTTTGTCTTGAAAATAAATTATAGTGTTAAAAAATATTTTTTGGTATTTTTGTCTTGAAAATAAACTATAGTATTATAAACTATTTTTGGTCTTTTTTGGTTTTAAAATAAAATATTTAAATGGTGTAAAAGAAAATAACTAAAACCCTAGTTTTTTAATTAAATTTACAAAACAATCAGTGAAATAAATAAAGTATTGATTAAATAAAATAATTTTTTTGTATAAAAAATAAATAAACTTTATCAAAATATTAATCTAATATTTTCATATTTTTCTGATTTTTTAATATTAGATAAAATATTTAAGAAAATAAATAAATAAAAATATGAAAAAAGAAATAAAAATGGACCAGGGTGTAAATAGCCAACAGGGGGTCAGAAGTGAAAAAACATAAGCCTGAGGAGATGAGTGAAGCAACCGGCTGAAAATCATCAAACAATGAAGTCATCATCGAACGTCTTTTATCCCACATGTAGGGAAAGGTAAACATCGAGAAAACCTGAGAAGGGAGAAGTCACGGTCTTGCGACCGAGAGATCGGGTAAGGGAGTCTGTTACGCGAGGGGAAGGTATTAGCACCCCACACGCCCGTAGTATTCTATGGTATCCACTCTTGTTATCTATCTTATGGGTGTGTTCAGTCTATGCTTACTGTCTATTATACTACTGGAGGTAAAATGCATGCAAAAGAAATGAGAAAAGAATGTAGGGAAAATAAAATTATGCACGCTTGGGCCCTACCCCAATGCCTGCGTATCCGTTTTGAGGAATCAGAGCTACCGTAGTTCAGCTCATATGTTTTTGTTTGTTTGTGTTTTTTATGGACGAAGTTAATTCCGCCTTCTGCCGCAACTCGACCTTTGGAGACTTATGCGTTGGCACAGAAGTAAATTAATCATGTCCTTACCTGAAAAGGGTTTTTTAGAAAAGTGCTCGAGCGCACAAAAGATTTGTGTTGGTTTATATTTTGTTGTAGATGTTTTTTGTGGACGAAGTTAATTCTGCCTTTTGCCGCAGCTCGACCTTTGGAGACTTATGCGTTGGCACAGAAGTAAATTATTAATGTCCTTACCTGAGAAGGGTTTTTTTAATGAAAGGTGCTCGAGCGCACAAAAGATTTGAATTTGTTTTGTATTTTTATTGCAGATAATGACTAGTCGACCTCAAGAGAGAGATATTAGCCATTTTTCTACTTAGTCATGAAAGGAGTCTTTGAGAATTGAACCACACCTATGCTTGAGATGAAGAACAATAAGATCGAGAAGAGACCCGCTTATCATTTCCCGTACTAAGCAAAAGCATGATTCTCATCAGTAGTTTTAAAGTGTTTTGAATTTCGAAAAGAAAAAAGAAGTTTTAGTTTTAGATGCGTATGCGAAAGGGAAAGAAAAGTTAAAGGGGAATTAGCCTATTTCTAAGCCTGATGTCATCGTGCGTGGTTAGACCTAAAGTTAGAATTTTGAGGGAATTCTACCTAATGTTAGCATGTTTGAATTTGAAAGCCTAATGTCTAATTTTAGTTCAATTAAATCGAAGATTAAATTTGAACCAAAATCTCCTAAGGAATCATGAAATAATATATGAACAAGTAAAATTAGGCAGCAAGTATCAAAATATCGCATACAATCCATACCAAAAATCGCAAACGAAACACATGACATAAAAATGAGTAAAACTAATGATTAAAATTGAAAAGAAAAAAAGTGAGAGAAGTGAAAAGAAATCTCTTTTATTTACCAATATTACCAAAGAAAATAAATCACCAAAATTAATCGCAAACGCAATCGAAATGAGTATTGGAAATAAGATCTCAGGAGGTACGAACTGAATTCAATATGTGCTGCAAAAAAATGCAATGACATTAGGCCCCATCAAAAATAGACACAATCAGCAAAAACAATAAAAATAATCATAGTCCAGGAATTGATTAGTTTGGCCCATGTCAACCATTCTTAATTTTATTAATCATCATATTATTATTATATTTATTTGTTGAATTAATAATAAAAAGAATAAAAAAAATGCAATAGAATATCGGTTCAGAAAGAAAGAAAGAAAAGAAGAAAAAAAGGAAAAGGGGCAATCTAGGGATTCAAGACAGCGTCGCCTCGTCTTCTTCCCCGGTCCTCCGTCGCGATTCTCCTTCAACCCAACATCTCACCTCACGATCTCCGGCGTCGCCTTATAAATCAGCGCCTCCGTCTTCTCTTCTTCCTATGCGTTTGCTTCTCCGTTATCCACCTGTACCGCCGCGGCAGTTCTCTCTCCTCGCCTCCATCTTCATTCAATTTCCGGCCACCATCATCAATACTTCGACATCCACACCTTCGTCAAATTCGCTTTAAAACCTCCATCGACCTCTTGCTCACGATGGTGCAACTTCGCTCCATCTCAATTTGTTCGTCTTGCCTCCGATTTTGTACCCAATCTCAACCACAACATATCATCTCTTCAATCGTTCAAAAGAACAACATGGCAACATTATATGCCAAAGGAAAAGACTGAAAGGTGTTACCTACCATAGACGAGTCCGCTGCTCCTTCCACACCGTTGCAACGATGAGAAATCCGTATATCTTTCCGCGAAGTTTCAGGTATGCGTACTCGTTTGTATCTTTCTTTTTGTTTTACTTCTCTCCTTCTACTTGTGTTGTGGTACTACTGTGAGTTGTTGTAGAGATGACGCCGAAAATTAAAGAAAACTCCGCGATGAAATCATTGTTGTATGATGTTGCAGGAGAAGAAGTGATGATGAAGATGCAAATATTGTTGCAGATTATTGATGAAGAAGGGATATGAGTTTCAGAGAAGTCTTCAGATGAAGATCGACAGGATATTGCAGAAAAACTCAGAGAAAGTTGAAGTAGTTGATGGAGGTTGAAGAAGGTTGAATATGAAGATGATGTTGAAGCGTGAAGGTCCGAGATGGAAGATTGAAGGTGCGTGAAGGTGAAGATGGAGAAGAGGGAGAGAGATTGCAGAGAGAGTTGAAAGGTGCTAATTGAAATTTTTCTGTTATCTTTTTGTGAATGAAATGGTGAAAAAATGAATCCCCTTTGCCCTCTTTTAAGATCTATTTGTGATCTCTATTCTAAGCTGAGTTGTTAGTTAGGTAGTAGTTATCAAAATTATGTTATGCAGTGTTACTAATTCTGTTAGAAGTTAGGGAATTGGTTATGATATGGTTTTTTGACAGTTGGTTGGGGATGAGTTAGTTGTTATAACAGTTTGTTACCGAATGTTAGTTATGCTGTAACTGTTTTGGGTTGGTTAAGTTAGTTACAGGGTTGTTTCTATTTTTTGGGTTATGGAAGTTTGTTAGCTGTTAGTTATAATTAGTTAATTCTGTTTTGGTTTGTTGGGAATTAATAACTGTTTCTTTTTGTAAAAATGGTTGAGAGTTTGAGAAGGTTAGAAAAAATAGGTCTTGATAATTGTGTATTGCGTGTAAAAAGATGTTAATGGCTGTATGTGTGTGAGAGATGTGTGTTCGTCAGATTTTATTGTCATAAAATACTATGCGCGTGTTACACACTATTTTGAATGTGTCTGTAGTTATTATGATATCACAATCTTAGTATTTGCATGTGGCTGAATTGTTGTCAACATGACCCATATGGATTTATGTTGCAGTTGCTATCTAGTCTGCTGATGATAGCATTGTATTACCCATGTGAGAGCTTTCGCCTGTGTGTTGCCTTCAACACTATTTGATTTAATAACGCTGTGTTGTTTTGAGAGTGTCCTGATCACATGCATATTTGTTCAAGTTTCTCCATATTGCTGTGCTAAGTGATCCTGCAAACAGATGCTAATTTGCAGTTGTGTTTGTGTAAAGCAGTGAACTGAGTGCGGTGACTAACACTACTTTGTTTGATTTTACTTTAGCGTTGACTGTGATAATTAATCATGTGTGTGATCTTCTTTATTCAACGCCTTATTACTTTGTGAGTTCTACAAGATATGTATTATGTATAAATGGTATGTGTTGCAATGTAGTCGTAATGTAAGAGTGAGAAAGATGATAAATTAAGAAAAGTTGTTAGGTTATAATTATAGAGGTTAGGATTATTTAGGTTATTTTTGTTATGACAATTTGAGAGGGACAGTGCTGCACTAAACTTATATTATGCATATATATTATTTTATTCATTACTGAGCTGTTGTTTGATTAATTGCAGGACATGGCTGGTTCCAAGCCTCAAAGCATGTTTGTTGTTTGGTATAACTTAGTCTTGGATACAGGACAAGACTTGGGGTGAAGAGCAAGAACAACTTGATACGGACTTATGGAGATCTTCTCAAGCCAAGCAAAAATGAATGAAGGCATAAAAATCTGAGAGAGCAGTCACCAATTTGTAATAAAATTTTGTACCGTCGTATGTGATGGATGTTTATTGATACTTGATATTGCCTTGGTATAATGTATTAGGTGCCATGAAATGATCTTATACTTGATAGTATAATGGAAACCTTCAAATACTCAAAGCGAATTTCCCTTTCGTTAATTTCTTTCTTTTCTTTTGTAATTATGTTGACAAAAAAATGATGATGACTTTGTAATATAACGAGAACCTTCGAGTTCGAATGGCAAAAATATGAATACTTCAAGTAGCTTTCTCTCCCGCTTCTAATTTTATATTTGCTTCTAGAAGAGTCATGGACATTGATCCATCAAGGTCTTGAATAATCAAACTTCCCTTGACATTTATGAATGGATCACCAAGCTTTAATAACCTCAAATGATTGAATGAACTTTAAACTTGATTATGACTTGATTTCCTAGCAAATGCCTCTTTCACTTTAATACTAATATGAACTTCAACCGAGTTTGAATCGTCATGAAAACCCCTATTTCAACTCTTCCATCCACGTTAACTTGTATCTCAAACAACACGCTAGTATCTTAATCACCACTTCATCTTTATACCACGATTTAAACTTTATAATCCATTCCACCAATGCACCTCAATAGACAACCAATGACCTTGAAGTAATGTCACGGAGAAAATCTTGTAGATAAGAATAATTAGAAGCATATAACTGACGATGATCACAAGGTTCTGAGATCCCTTGAGATGCACTTTGATGGTTTAAAAGCCCATGGTGAAGATGCCCTTGTAGCTTGATAAGAAAGAAGTCCATAATAGCCATGCATCCAAAACCCTATCTTCAAACCATAATTGTCGAAGAAACCAACTAATTCAAGCCTGAGTGAAGATGAGGACTGTCAATGCCATAAAAAACCCTAATTCCACCATATCACTGATTCCATGCCAAATTATGTTGTTAACGAATGTATGCAATGTTAAATGACCTAATGGAAATATGTACATGCGAAAAGTGCGACAATGCGTAAACCAGATAAAAGTAGAAGGGTAGGACAAATTTGGGGTATTACAGCTGCCCCTATTTAATCGTCTTAATCCTGAAAGTACGATTGGCACATGCCTTTCGGAAGTTCAAGGTTGAAGATGATTAAATATCAATGCCAAAAATTTGTCCTGAGAGAGGGAGTAAGTGTTTTCTTTATTTATTTATTTTGTGATCTGCCGGGGAAAAGAAATTTTTTTTTTCAATGAAGAGACAGAGATTGGACTTGTAATGTGGCCTGATGCCAATACAAGACAAATGGTTGGTATGAAAAGACAGCGGACGAGGTCTACGGGCGACCTACGATCCGAGGGTGACACATGAGAGTGATTTGACAGAGAACCTAGCCAAAGGGCGACCTCAGGTTCTAAGACAAAGTATATGGAAGGAACCTAGCCAAGAGGCGATCTCAGGTCCGACGATGATTTGAGGGAAGAACCTAGCCAAGAGGCGATCTCAGGTTCGACGATGATTTGAGGGAAGAACCTAGCCAAGAGGCGATCTCAGGTTCGACGATGATTTGAAGGAAGAACCTAGCCAAGAGGCGATCTCAGGTTCGACGATGATTTGAAGGAAGAACCTAGCCAAGAGGCGATCTCAGGTTCGACGGTGATTTGAAGTAAGAACCTAGCCAAGAGGCAATCTCAGGTTCGACGATGATTTGAGGGAAGAACCTAGCCAAGAGTCAATCTCAGGTTCGACGATGATTTGAAGGAAGAACCTAGCCAAGAGGCGATCTCAGGTTCGACGGTGATTTAAAGGAAGAACCTAGCCAAAAGGCGATCTCAGGTTCGACGATGATTTGAGGGAAGAACCTAGCCAAGAGGCGATCTCAGGTTCGACGATGATTTGAAGGAAGAACCTAGCCAAGAGGCGATCTCAGGTTCGACAGTGATTAGAGGGAAGAACCTAGCCAAGAGGCGATCTCAGGTTCAACGGTGATTTGAAGGAAGAACCTAGCCAAGAGGCAATCTCAGGTTCGACGAAGGTTTGAGGGAAGAACCTAGCCAAGAGGCGATCTCAAGTTCGACGGTGATTTGAGGGAAGAACCTAGCCAAGAGGCGATCTCAGGTTCGACGATGATTTGAAGGAAGAACCTAGCCAAGAGGCAATCTCAGGTTCGATGATGATTTGAAGGAAGAACCTAGCCAAGAGGTGATCTCAGGTTCGACGATGATTTGAGGGAAGAACCTAGACAAGAGGCGATCTCAGGTTCGACGATGATTTGAAGGAAGAACCTAGCCAAGAGGCAATCTCAGGTTCGACGATGATTTGAGGGAAGAACCTAGCCAAGAGGCGATCTCAGGTTCGATGATGATTTGAAGGAAGAACCTCGCCAAGAGGCGATCTCAGGTTCGATGAAGGAAACATGGGTTATGACATGATGATTGTTTAGATAAGCGACACGGACGAGCATCAAGAAATTTTAAACACGGACGAGTGTTTGAATCAATACGGACGAGTATTGAAAGAAGATATGGACGAGTATCAAAGGTTAAACATAGACGAGGGTTTGAATCAATACGGACGAGTATTGAAAGAAGATACGGACGAGTATCAAAGGTTAAACACGGACGAGTGTTTGAATCAATACGGACGAGTATCAAAGGTTTAAACACGGACGAGTGTTTGAATAACTGACCCGGGCGGGTGTTTAGTAAACTTGACACATACGAGTGTTTAGGAATGGACACAGACGAGTGTTTAGGAAACTGACTACCAGACAAGAACTGGGTTTAGAACGGAAAAGTGTATTGATTTTGTTTGGTATTGAAAAGGTGAAGGTCACTGATTGGGGATTTTGGGCATGATACCCTCTTGTAGGGATGTATCGTTGTCCTTGAATAATTCAGGTCTTTGTGTAAGGTACCTGATCTGGCTTATGCTTCGTATGTATGTTTGAATTTATTTTGACGTAAAGATCCACTCTGATGGATCAGCTACGCGCTTTTGAGGATGCAATGATATGTAATGATAATTATATGCAATGCGAAGAAATAAACTTCATGGGGATAAAAGAAGGCTTGCTGGGAGCCATTGCTCATCACTGGGGATATCGACGCTGGAAGTCTGCAGTACCAAAGATTATTGGGGGTATTGATAAGAATTTGCCCTGGGGAGCTCTTGAAGACC